GGGTACTAGCCTAGGGTGACTTTTGACGGAAGGATCTGTGTACAGGGGGTAGGGTGACAAACAGTGTCCGGGTACCACCGGTGGTCAGGCTCCGAAAGTTCAGCGGGAGGACAAAAAATCAACTAGTCACACTACAGGGGTAGTCCTTAGATTGACTGAAAGTAAAAAATCAGGGTGGGTAGTGCTGAGAACGGGGTGCTGTACCACAGAATTCATGGCATAGGTAGGGGTACATAGGAGCTCTGGGGGGTAGTGAGTCGATGTTAAGATCGATCGACCTCGAAGTGTACCTCCTTGCAGTCCTTTTACTGACATTCCCCACGTACTGCCTTCCTCCTCCGCCTCCTCCGCCTCCTCCGCCTCCTCCGCCTCCTCCGCCTCCTCCTCCTTCGGATCCTCCTCGGGCTCCTGGACGCCTTAGTTTGCTCAGTCTTCAGGTCAACATCCTCCAAGACTCTCCCTCTCTTGAACGTGCATAGCGGATTCTCGACATACATTTTTCTCATGTCAGCTTTCGGCGGCGTGCCAAAGCTGGTTGTTCTATCGATACCTCCCCCGCAACCAACCTCATATTCCGCATGCATTCTCTCTCCCTCTCCTCCCACGCAGGCAGGCACGACCGCGATGTTTCTGGTGATGCCTCCCATCCTCCCTCCTCTCCAGACTCCAAGAACGCAGCAAAATCCCTTCCCGGATCCTTTTTCTTTGCAGGCTTCACCCATCGCACTTTCCCAGATCTCACTGGCTCATTTCCCAGTGACGCAGTTCCCAATCACTCAGGCCTCAGTCAATCAGGCCCCTGTATCTGGACCTCTTTCACTGGCGTCGCACCCCCAGGTACCCACCTCTGTACCTCTCGAGGAGAAGAAGAGGCCAAGTAGGAAAGGCAGGATATGGTCGAATGATGAGAGGGAGAAGCATAAGGCGGCTTGCAAAGGGAAGGCGCGTCTCAGCCTGAAAGAGCGCCTTGAGATCGCCAGGCTTCATCATTCCAAGGACCCGGACGTCAGAAAGAGCAAGGTCGAATTGGCTGCTATGTACAACAAAAGCTTATCCGCTATCTCGAAAGCTCTTCGGCCGGAGAATCTCGCTAGGTTGAAGAATGACCTTCCGAAGTCTTGAATGTGTCAGTGTGATGAACTTTCTGGATGGTTCTTTCGTTCTCCTGTACTCTGTTATTCTTTCAGGCATCTCTACGTTAGTCGGGTGTAAATCAAGCTGATGAATTGTTGTGATAGTTCTCCGATTTTTCTTAGTCTTCACCGTGAGCTTGATAGACAGGTCGATACATGATTTGCCCTCGCGTTGCGCTTTTGAAACTCCCTGAATGAGTCATTAAATCAAGCTAATATTGTCTCACAACACAAAGACTTTCTCTTCGAACTCGTGCGCATCCAACCATTCCCTTCTTCTTTTGGTCGACATCTTGTGTACCGACAGATTTTAAGAGGATAGTCTTACATACTACCTTGTTCCCCTTCTCCCCCAATTGATATTTTTACTATACTCGTTTGCTTGATTCCTTTTCAGCAAAGGAAAGATTCAGGTGCCCCAACTCACGCCAAGGCCACTGCACACAAGATTGAAACACCTGGCTTCACTACTGACACCGTCTCTGTACAGAAATGCTAGAGAAACTTTTTGCATCTCATATAATCTCAAAAAACAAACATTATTTTCGACTGATGCATCCGCCCGGTGATACAAACAGCCCGAAAGCCCCTGTAGGGTTCTATCACATTCTAAAGAGTTCTTCTTGCAAATAAGTTGCTCACCGTGACCAACAACCCCAATACCAGTGAATATCATCGCGCACACTATCAACCATAGGTTCCATCTGTTTGGTTGAAATCACATCAGTCTCATGATTGAACAAAAACGTTTGCTCATAGCATTCCTGCTTTGCGAACAGAGTTGACGATTAGTATCAGGGTAATCACACTGAGTTCAAGGAAGATCTCCCAAGCCCGAGAATCTTATCAGATAACAAGAGGAGGGGATGAGCATCGATAGAAGTGTTCTATAGTATGATCTTCCTGAGTCTAACAGAATCAACTACTACCCTGACCACTACCACGATCAGAATGAAAAAATCCACAAGCGAGTTGACAGGAATATTCCAAAAGGGAAAGATCAAACATCAACCGTGATCAATCGAATTACCTCCCCGTGTAGTACCCACATAAGCATAAAATAACTGCCAAAGAGTAGCTTATCAAACACCTTTCAGCCATGTCAACAATAACGATGGATGCCGGCAATGGAAGGATCACGTCTGCGAGAATGCTCTTCTAGCCTCCTCCGTCAACGTACGAGTTCTGTACGCGAAAATTCCCAAAAGAACCACGAATGGCCCGCAAACCCTGTACACCCCAACGGAAGGAACGAGATCAGACTCATTGCTATAAAACCACTGACGCCCCGAGCGCAGCATGTGTTCTACCATACCTGATACAATCTTGCGCGTGCAGATCAAAGGGGCTCCGAGATATGAATTCAAAAAACACCGGATCCACTATCATCATCGCTCCAAAGGAACTCGCAAACACCGCCTGTGCTCCCAAGTCAGCCTGTCTTACCATAGAAGGACGATGAATCTATTCGTCGGTCTTCAATCTTCCCTCATGCCTGATTTCATTCCAACCATAGACACGATCTCATGTTTGAATCACAATCTGATTGCACCATTCTCTCTCCCCTTCTGGCCCCCGGTCCACGAACTGTGTGCACAAAGTTCCTTGCTTCCGATTTCCATCCATCAATCATCACAATATCCTTTCCAACAACATCTTGCAGCTTCTTCCTATCATACATCTCCCCTCTCTGCCATGATCCTTACCTGCATTGTCACCAGCATGTCGTACTTCGACTGATGCCCCCCATGTTCCCCGGCCATCCCGCGCCCCGACATATAAGGCCGACCCTTCCCCAGTCCACTGGGACCCCTGTCCTTCTAAGACCACCCTTCCATCCTCTTCAATACCCCCTAAATTTACTTCAATTGTAGGGGTAATATATGGGAATTATTATACCCTACCAGTCCAACAATCCTAGTAAAGTACCACAACCCCTGTAATTGAGCTATTATTACCTGCTGCACCGATGACGGTACTAAAGTCGTTACAGCCGCATCAACGAACTTAGTTCAGTCACTGGGATACCAACTAAACCCTTCAGTTGAGCCATGGCAGGATGAAGACGGCAGGATTCATCCTGCTGCTCCACCTAGAGGTAAGGAGAGGGAGGGAGGGAGGGTGAGTCACATGGGGGGGGATCAATGGTGAAGCTTCACAGTCTGATCATGAGTCTTTCCCAGCGAGCAGGTCAGGGAGCGGAACAATGCGAA